TATAAAATATTTTCAGTATTTCAGGGAATTTTTACCAGTTCTTATAAGCTTAACTTCTTTTATCATTTTTTCTCCGTGTAAATAAGCAACCACACCTGGCATCCCATAAAAAACTCATTAAATAATGGGCCTCGTTTGCGAGCTGATCAAAATTTTAATTAATCAACGGACTGCTCTGGCAATCTTCCCTCTCTGTCACTCTCGCCTTGGCTGTCCCTCTCGCACTTTCTGGGAACGGGAGAATTACCCGGACTAAGCCACGCCACCCGCCCACAAATTCTCTTCTAAATAGCCGTTTCCCAAGGCATTTTCGAGGCATCGATAATTGGATTAAATGCGCCGATCCTTGGGCCAAGATGCAGAGCCATTTCCACGACCAGATCCCGCGGATTTCCACAGGCTTTTCCTTGGTTTAAGTTCGGGGATTTGCGTGATCTTCTGCTGTCGATCTTCTGATCACTCCTGATCCACGACGACTGATCTGCGACTAAGCATTCCAAATAGTTGCAAAATATTTATTGGCATTTAATTAAGTCCAGTGCTTAGCTCGAAAGGAAGTGTTTAACTTTCGCCTGGATTTTGGGTACTCAAAACTTCAAAATAATAATAAATATTAATCAGAAAAATATTATAATTTTCATCTTTATAATTGCTTAATACCCCCACCATATCAAGCTGATGTATCTTAATACATTTCCAAATGCACAAAAATGTCAACCAAATCCGCGTTATTTAAATTCAATTTAAGCTTCCTTTTCGGCCAGACAAACACAAAGTGTCACGACTGGGCGGAGGAAACCCTTTCGATTGGCAGTGGCAATTTTTAATTAAATCAGTGCCCATGGCTGCAGCCGAAAATGCTCAATTATTAAAACAAATAAAGCCAATTAGCTGTGTCAACACGAAGCGCTGGTCGGTTGGTGGAAACTTCTGGCCGTCCAACCCTTGTGGCAATTATGCTTTCGCTAAACATCCATCTCCAACCCCCAGCTGCCATTTATGTGCCCAAAAGCCCCCCTCCCCCCGATCATCACGAAATCCACGGAGACGAGAAGCTGTTTTAATTGACTCTGAAAAGCCGTCACCATCATCGCACATCAGACTTCCCAGGCGTCGGAATATCAGAATCATCAGCATCCGTGGGCTTCCATTTGCGGGTCTAATAAAAACGCTAACGAGACGAGGGCGCACTGAGATACTCAGATACTGCATGTATCTCAGATACTGTATCTGAGTATCTGGCAGATGTATGGAGGGAGACGGAGAGCATTATCACGAAACTCTTGGGCGGCAAAATAAACAGGGAAAAAATAATTTAATCATAATCATAAAGTTTGTTTCTATTCAGAAGAAAATTGTATGCTTAACAATAAATTTATTAAACATCATAAAAATAATATTATTTTACAATTAAAGGTCATACAAACTGTAATAAAAATAACTTTTACAGGTTATGTCTAGAAACTGACTGGAGTGTTATAAAATATTTTCTACACAGATAAAATAATGTTAGATATCATAACGTATGTTTATAATCAGAGGAAAACTGTAAGTACACAGTTTTCCTCTGATTATAAACATACGTTATATACATATATTATATACAATAAAATCATCAAAAATCACAAAATAAAGAAAATAATACAATACATAAACATGAACAAAGACAAACACAAAAATAATATAATTTTACAATATAAGGTTAAACAAACTGTAATAAAAAACAAACTTTTACAAGCGAAATCATGAAACTGACTTTAGTGTTATAAAATATATTCTATGCAGATACAACCCTTTTGTCCTAAACCTTCATATTATGCGCTTTAAAAAAAATTAAAAATGCTTTTATTTTTCACATAAACTGCTAGGATAATCCCAATAAAACCTAAAAACAAGACACTAAGTACATTTTGAGTCGACTAGTTTTACGGAATAAGTTAAAAGTACTTTTAAAAAGTATCTGCTCAAAATCCAACAGTAATTGTATGAGTATAGATATATTCTGTCTGTGTGAAGAAGAAGAGGTGCCCTGCCCACAAAGAACCCCCTTGTTGGAACCCCTCTCCTGCGAAATACCCCCCGCTGGAAACTGGCAAAGCCGTGCAAAGTACTTGTGATAATGAGCTCCATCTCGTTGGCAATTATTAAATGAATTGGATTTATACGCTGCAGCACCCCTCCCCCTCCTTTAACCCACCCCATGCCTTCCTGTCATCCTGCCTCCCGCTCACTCCAACGAAAAAGACTGTCCATCCCCTTGTTAGCAGCTGTCGCCTACTGTTGTCCCGCTCTCGCCCACGTAGATACTGCGGGCAGCCAATCAAAGACAGCTGTCGGTTTATCTCGCTCGCAACTGTGGAACATGGAAGTATCTTGTGGATTGCATTTCCCATATGCAGAGAAAGGCCGGCAGGAACTAATACCAGTATGGATCGGGTGCTTCCACTGGAAGAACCTAATTTCAGGCGACTTTAATTAGTTTGCTTAGAAGCTAAAGAACTCTTATTCCAGGAATATTATAATAGTTACTGGGCTGTAATTAGCAGATAAACTGAAGCGGAATTGAAAAGGAAAACCCTTAATTCATCTGGAAAAGGATAGAAGCTGCAATTTTTCATTAAAGAATAACTTTTTGTTAAATAACTTTAGAAACAATATTTAAAAAGAAAATATTTTCAATCTTTCACCTATTGTTTTTATTGCAGCAAATTGATTATTATTAGTTACAAATTTATCGTTTGCATTTTTCTCTTTTGTTCGAAGATTTTAGTATTTGTATTTACAAAAAATATTTAATATCTAAAAGGGAAAATTTTAAAGGATACAGTAAAAAACATGCAGAATAATAAAAAAAAGCATTTCATTTTTAAATTATTCGAAATGAAATATTATCTTAACTACACAATTTTTGGTCAAAAAAATTCTTAGCTAAAATTTTTAAATATCGTTTTAAATTTATTCCCACTCACCAAAGTTGCCTCGCGTTTTGTGAGCTGATAACCGAGGCATTTGCTGCATTTTATCTTTTCTGGGCCCACCTACTGGTCATATATCAAGCGCGGTAAATGCCAAAAAATACGCCCCGAAAATCATTGATTGGCGATCGATAACCTTTAGCAGTGATGGAGCATCCCATAAAGTTCTCGTCCCAGCTCATTGTCTGACTAATTAAATGATTTATCCCGAAACGTGAGGCGGTGGGGCGGAATCGAGAGGAAAAAGAGTAAAAACCAATTACAATTACCGCACCCAGAGGTGCCACACTCACAGATACAAAGGCACATATATAGATATAGATACTCGGCTGCATCTGCGGCAGCCGAACTGCTGGCCCATCGACAAGCACCGGCCTTATCTAGATGCATACAAATCCAGCCAAGCGCACGTCAATTTATTTGCCAACCTCTCGGCTCTCCTGGCTCCTTTGGGCCAACAGCCACAGCCACATCCACATTCACATCCATTCATGGCCAAAAGGAGGAGATCCGAGGAACAGGGGGCCGAGTCGCATGTATTTACCTATGAGAAGGCTGCGAAGTTGGCGCTGCATGTTTTATGCCTCCTCCTGCATCTTTAACGAGGTGTTTATTTTCACAACTCACAGCCAGCGGATGAGGATGGGGATCCAGCCACAGATACAGCCACTCGGATGACCAGATACAGATACATTCCCATCCCCAACCAGGCGTATCTGTGAGATACTCGCTGCGAGTGTGCGCCGGCAGTTGCAGCTCGCCGAAGGTGTAGAAACCAAGTTACCGCCCATTTTCATGTCCAAATGCTTTTGGCCAACATGATGCAGATGCCAATTCGAGCCAATTCAGAATGGTGGAAAGGCCAGGAGGAGGGGTGGGTGAAGGGCAGTGGCAGGGGCGGAGGGCCAGAAGGTGGAGGAGGGGGTGCCGGTTATAGCCAGCACTGACGACGGGGCGTCTAAGCTATATAAGCGATGACGTTGATGTCGGTGCACAGTGGAATCAGGAAAAATGTTTAAAAAATTGGAAAAAAGCTATTTATACTAGATTTTAGTTAACAGAAGGTTACCAAAATGTAATTGGGGATATTATTTTAAAATTTATTAGTTATATACCGAATCCTTAGTTAAAGAATTAAACCTTTTGGATTTTGAATAGTAAAATTAAGTATCTAATTATATTAAGAGATCTATTCACTATCATAATGTAAAAATTATATAAACTCATACTTTAGCTTATAGAAAAAATATACTGTTTTAGGTTTTATATATTTCATAAATTTAAATTTAAATGGCTTAACACTTTTTAAGGAGACCTTTATTTCTAGGACAAATGATAAATAAATCTTAAAACAAGCAACAAGGCCATTTTTATCTTAAAAAGATACATTTAAAAAATAAATAGATCTTAATAAAAAAAGCTGACAAAATAAGCTTTTCATTATGGGTTGTTTAAATTAGTTCATATGGGTTAACAAGTTTACACCAGTTTTCCTTTTGTCTAAACTTAAATAACAAATTATACCCACTTTCCAATACCCCCAAATATTGTGTTTCGCCCACTGTTTTAGTGCCCCTCCCCTCGCCACCCTCCGCCCCCTTCCAACTGGCCAACCCGCTTGGCACTAAAACCACAAACGCTTTAATGATGCTGTTTTGTTTAGCGCAAATTGTTTGTTTCGCTGTCATAAACTGGTGCGAAAAATGGCCAAGAGAGCGAAAGAGAGAAGCAGAGAGAGAAAGCCCCCGCCACACACTCACACAAAAGAGCCCAGAGAGAGCGGGAGAGCGAGCGAGAGAGGAGGTGGCTCCACTTTGGAGCAGAGCAGGTTTTTGGAAATCCAACTGGACTATTGCTGCACTGCTTTGGCGCAGGCGCAGAGCAAAGAGTGTGCGAAAAAGACGCCTGCTGTGCTGTGCGGCTCCCACTGGAAGCAGAAGCAGAAGCAGAAGAAGAGGAAGCACAATTGCTGGCCCCACAAACTTTTTGCGGCTTTTTCCTTTCCAACGCGACACTCGAGCCAAAACGCTCAGCGTGAGAGCCACGCAGCGATTCGCCGACGCCCCCGCCGAAAAGAAAGAAAGACAGAAAGAGAGGGGGAGAGTGGCGAGTGAAAGAGAGAGGGCGAGCGAGGAGCCAGCAATTAGACGCCTTTAGAAGCCCCATAATGCTAATGGCGTTGACAGTGCTCATCATCCTCGCAGCGCGGCCACCGCAATCGCAATCGTTTCGTTACCGGGCACCGCTGATAACCGTTAACCGTTAACCGCCGCCTTGCGACCGAGTCAATCATCAATCGTACATCGTCCACCGGCCGTCGTCAATCGCCGCCGTCAATCGTCCATCGAAGCGGTACGGTCACGCTCCAATCGCCGCGTTGCCGCCGCTCCAGTTATCCAGTTGATCAATGTCACGCCGACGGATGCCAACCGCTGGAGCATCGCAGATACAGATACAGATACAACAACCGCATAGCATAGCCGTGGCCTATGGCTATCTGATCTGAAAAACAGTGCGTGTGTGCCTATCTGATACCCAGTAACCAGTAACAAACAACCGACGTACCGATCGTGTTTCCTATAGACCCCATCCCATCCCAAATAATAGGAAATCGATCAATACTCCCCTCTTTCCGTTTTCGATTCTGATCTATTTTGGCTGTGTTTACCTTTGATAATGGGGAAATTGTGTATATAACTCGCAGATTATTAAACGGTTAGGATAAAATTGAAACTCTTTGGAGCTATTAGCAAAAGTTTTAAAAGGATTTTCCAAATCAAAGCTCTAGTTTCTTGTATAGGATTAATGGATATACCATTTCTACAGCTTAAATCATTTTGATTAAAATTTTTTTTTAGTTTTAAATTCAGTTTGATTATTGAAAAATTTGATATTATATCTTTTTTACATTAGTTCCTTTAAAAACTTATTTTATTATAAATTTTTTTTAAATAAGGCTATATTTATATCTAAAATTCAGATGTTTCGTGGATGAATCTAAAATATTTGAGTTTGCCTTGTTGATAAATTTAAAAATATTCCTTTTTTCATAATAGTTCTTTTAAAAACTTGTATGTTAAACTTTTTTTTAAAACTCAGATATGGTTATATTCTAAAATTCCGATGTTTCGTGGATGATAACCTAAAATATACTATAAATCCATTTATAGCAAGCCCAGTCAAATCCAAGCAGATTAGAAAACGGAAACAAAGGTTTTTTGGAGTGCTCATAGCCCACTTTAACTAATAGTTCGAGTTTGAGAAGTTGGACAGTGTTTTGTTTGTTGGTTCCATCGACTAAACCCCTACCAAATGGTCACCTGCGGCCGGCAAACGTTCAACATGCTGCCCATGGCGCCGACGAGTCCTTTCGTGAGCAGCAGCTCCTCGGCGGCCGCGTCCTCGACTTCCGTTTCCGCCAGCACGGCCAGCGCTTCCGCCTCCGCGGGCAGCAAGCCCAAGCTGGCCTTCAGCATCGACTCGATTGTGGGCGAGTCCTCGACGAGATCGGCTCCCCTGAGGGTCAGTGTGATATCCTCGCCGGCGCCGCGCAGCGAGAGTCCCGCCTCGCCGACAAACACCAACAACAGTGGCCGGCGGACGCCCAGGGGATACATCTACTGCCGCAGGCGGGATTCCCTGGACAGATCGCGCAGTCCACAGAGATCGCCGGTCAGCCGTTCGCCAACGCCTCCAAATGGAAATCCTCCTGCAAAATCAGGGGATCCCCCGCCAGCGGGAGCGGGCAATCCGCCCAATCCAACCCTCATCCGTCCGATGCCCTTGCCGGCGCCGAATCTAGCTTTAATCCAGAACCGCACCTCGCCGAACCCCCTGGCGGTGCGCATGGCGGGTCCGCCTCACCCGCCGCCGCCCCCCTTCCTCGCCGCCCAGTTCCAAATGGCTGCCGCCCTGGCCCACCATCACCAGCAGCAGCAGCAGCAGCAACAGCAGCAGCAACTTCCGCCCGTGCCAACTGGACCGCCACATGGTCCGCATCCGCATCTGCCGCCCGGCCAAATGCCAATGGGGATCTTCCCGGGCGGCCCGCATCCGGGACATCCTCCGCCCCACGGCCACCACCCCTTCGGGAGTGCTCCGCACCTGATTCGCGACAGCTATCCGCTGTACCCGTGGCTGCTCAGTCGACACGGCCGCATCTTTCCACGCTTTCCAGGCAGTAAGTTATGTCTCTCTTAAAGATCTTTCCAGTATATTTCAAATATATAAAATTCATTACAATCTTTATTTATTATAAAACCTGTTTTAAATGTTCTTTAAATATTTTTTTAATATGGAACTAAAATGGAAACCCTTTCCCTTTCACATGTCTTTTGAATCTAATTTTAAATTTTTTAATAATTTCTACCAGTTTAGTACGAACTTTTTTTTATATAATACATCGAAAAAAAGTTCTCAAAGAAAGGTAATTATTATTAGATTAATTCTACACTATTGAGTATCGATTTGGTTTCCATAAGATGAGTCCTAAATTAATACTCTCAAAAATATTTAAAAAAAATTTAATTGGTTTAAAAATAATACCACAAATGCAAATTATATACTCTTTAATATAGATATAAAACTGTAAAGTATAACCATATACTATTAAACCTAGAATCTATACTTTAATTTTAACATTGCTTTTATTATACAGTGTTTTTAATAATACAACTGGTATTAAATCTGAACTTTCAGTTTTTTTCGTTGTTGTTTTACCTAATTACAATTAATCGATTTATAAAGGAATATATTAAAAGCAAAAGCAACTTAGAACAGTTTAAGTTAGTTATTATGCATATTTATTAATTGAATATGATTACGATTCCAATAGCAGACACAGATACTTTTAAGCTAGATAAATGGTGGCTGAAAACCTTTATGAATACTTTCGAATTTTAAAATTCTAAAAGCCCCATTATTATATTTATTAAAGATTTAATAGGAGGCGAAAAATAGTAGTCATGTTCATGAGTCCGTTAAAACATATATAATTTTATTTAAACACTATCTGAGAAATGCCACCACTAACTTTTTGAATATATTTCACTTAAACGAGTTTTTCCTAGTCATTATAGCCGTTTCAAACGGCCGCTGAGTGCCGTGAACCAGGGAGAGAAAGAAACCACACCAAAAAGTCATATTCGAACCACTCCGCCATTATGGCGCAGAGAACCTCAATCAAGCAATTATTCAGTTATCGCTGTTGTTGCCGTGCAGCTCCATATAATTAAAGTTAAATAAGCAAATGGCAAACATTTATTACAAGTTAATTAGACGTGTATCGGGCTCATCATCATCAGAGAAAGAGGAACAAAGACAGAGAGAGAGAGATCGGGTGCGAGGGAGAGGGTACCAAACCCATTTTGATAACTATTTCCAAACAAATTACTTTTTAATTAAATTGTTTAAACAACATTACACACATCGTTAGGTCAAGCAGCGTACCTAAATGGCCAGCCAAGTGTGTGAGTGCGGGTTTTTTCCTATATAAATATCTTTTTTCGAAATTGCCATTAATGGCCAACAGACGGCGCCAGTTGCTCATGCGGCGGGCCCATGCGGCGTATGTGTAACGTACGAAAAGTGCAACCAGTGAAATGTTAATGCGTTTTTAATTGAGGTTTTGGGGCAACCAAGCAAGGAACTGAAGAACTGAAAAAACCCGAGAGATAGAAGCGAAGAGCCACCGCAAAGCGCATCTCAAAAACATTGTCATTTACCACGCTTTAACCACATTTTTTTTCATTCGCTCTCATAATTACCATTTGAATTTCCAGGCCATGTTGTTTTTCTCGTTTTTTTCTGTTTTTGGGTTGGGTAAATATAAGCATAATTTTCGGCACACTCACACGCCTTTCACCTGCCCAAGTGTACATGTATCCCCGTTACGCCTTAATTATGTTGTACTCCGTTTCATTATTTTCTCCCTTTTCCCATTTCCCGCTCGACTTCTCACTTTTCTCCACTCCGACTGTAATTTTCGCTTGATTTATGAACGTGAAATGTCAATGTTTCGCATAACGATTTCATTAATTGTAAATGTTTTTCGTCTTCGTTTGCTTTGTAACTCGTGTGAGTAATACCGGGTTACATGGTGTTTTTTTCGGTTTTTGGAGGGGGTTGGCTTACAAGATAATGGGGATCATCGCGATAGCGAGGATGATGATGCGTCAGTAACTCAATTCAGGTTGCACGTGCTGCAATTTCAGGGTGTGGCCCTCTAATGCCGACGAAGAAGTTCTAGGAAAAGGGTAACATCCACAAGGCTGAGGTCCTTATTATTGAAGGCTTAAAAACTGATCATTATAATTGGACAAGCTGCTTTGTGCCGTCCTACGAACCTTGATGACCTTCAGTGCGTAACACGTTTATACATTCTTACTTTTAATAACATTTAACATAACATGACAATATAATATTTTACGGTATTATTGATATATTATTGAAATATGTATATTTTTTATCTCAATTCAACTTATTATATAACATTCCCTTTAATAAGTGAGAAAAACATTATTGTAATGTTGAATTGAGGCTTAAAACACTTTTCTTTAGTTATCAAAATCCTGAATAAATCTCCAGGGTTAAATCACTTAAAGACTTGCCTAAATTCCTTCAAGTACCACAACTTCATCAACAAAATTAAATACATTAGTGGCAGGAAAAAATAAATTCCTTTTACTGTATGTGATTGTTGAACTGGTTTAATACCTGACCTTATTTGTATAGTGGCCATACTTCACAGTCATTAATTCGATAACTACAACTACTTGATACGTGATTTTGACTTCAAGCTCATTAAAAAGATTGGTGTATTAACTATCAAAAGTGTATCAAAAGGTTGTTGCTTATTATTTATGGAATAGTACTCCATTGCTTCAAAATTGATATAGAATAATTAAAAGTGAACTGTCTTAAATATTTCTTTAAAAAATTGTCTATAACTTTTGCATTTATAGAACTCTTACTCGCCTCATCAATAAGGTTCTCCGATAGGTAGCCTTATCAAAAATATTTATTCTACCCCAATCAAAGCCATTACCCCGCAGAAACCCACAAAATCGCATTCAGACACCCCGACTGCAAATGGCCATTGCCGTCAAATCGATCATCACAACATCCCCGACTGTCATTTCATTTGATTTCAATTATCGAACTCGAGTCAATGTCCTCGCACGCGGGACACTCGAGGAATGCAATAAATTAATGAAAAAATCATGAGAGCATAAAAATTAAGCCCTAACTCGATAAAAAAGAAAGCAAATACAATTGCACATAAGTGATAAATAATGGGGGGAACAAAAGGCCAGGACAGTCCGATAAACGAAAACGAAACGAGACCCGGCACTACCAACATGGGCTAAAAAAGTGAGGTATACTCGTATACCATACATAAAAAAATGACAGCTGACAAGGGTGTGAGCCACTGCAAATCCAACAACATGGCCAGCAGAGCGGACACATCAATTAATTGTCAATTGCGCGTATTTTCGCACGGCGGTTTCCTTTGTGTCCACAAACCTACAGAAAAAATCTAAAAAAAAATACACACACTTCATTGAGAGCTGCTGCAGAGCTAGATGAAAAAAAGGAAGAGAAAAAATAATTAAGTGGCCATTGTGAGCGGCGGCATTATCAATTATACAGCCTCTTCTAAGGCGCTGGGCAGTCGTGTATCTTGTATCTTGTAGCTACATTGTTAGCTGTCAAATGTAACAAATGTCAAGCGATCGTGGAGTAAAAAAAAGACCAAAACTAGATCACTCGGGATGCTAGCTCCTGGCAATCGTTTGTCAAGTTCATAGCAAAAACCAAGCACGCAGTCAGTCGGCAGTCGCAGTCAGTTGCATCTGTCAGATGCGTAGATACATGGCCATCAATGGTGCGAGGCTGCATTTATGAAGTGTCGAATTGACAAGTTCCCCTTGCCCACTCCCCGTTCCCATTTCCCTCACCCTCTCATTCCATTCCCTTTTTATTGTTCGGTGGTATTTTTCCAGCCAGGCAGCGCTAACAAGATACATTTCTGGGGTTGCATCTTGTATCTAATGGCTTCGCGCCCTTTCGCCAGCCCTTCTCTATTAGCTGTTTATTTTCCCAATGGCTTAGCTTCTGTTTTGTTGTTTTGCTGTTTGTTGCACAGACTTCCTGTCGCCGAAATCGATTCGATTCTGCTATGCCAATATTGATTTTGTAATTGGCACACCTTCAGCTTAGGCTTGCTCACTAAATTATATCACAACAAGGCTTGTTAAGGTGGAATGTTTGCTTTGTGAGATCAGAATTGCAGTTGGTTGAGGTCTAGAATCTTAAGTTGACAGTTTTTGGGCCAGCAGAAGAATGGTCAGGACTGTTGGCTAAAGAAAGTCATATCTCAGGACAAGAAATTGGTAATCCCCTGGATTTTCTTTTACATGTTTAGTAAGCTTATATTTACCTTCCGGATATAATATTATTTATTCTTGTTTTTCTAAGTGCATAAGAATGCATACGTCTCTATAAAAATAATCATTCCTTAACTGAAAATAAATTTATACCATTGGTTTATATTAGCGTAATGAAAACTTTATTAGGAGCAATAAAAATATTTTAAAAATAATGAGTCAAAATATGTCAATATGCTTGCAAACTTTCTCGAATATATCATTCTCTAAATGTTTTCTTTTATAGAAAAAATTAAATATCCTTAAAAATATACAAAACTGGAATTTGTTTATAAATTCCATACATTTTTAAGGCCTTAAACCAAATTTTTAAATATTCAAAATACAGAAAAAAAACCAAATATCCTTAAAAATTTACAAAACTGGAATTTGGTTTTAAGTTCCATACATTTTTAAAACCTTAAACCAAATATTTATATATTCAAATGTACTTTTTACAATTTCTTTTTAAGTTGAATTTATTTTTCCGACTTCCTCTGTATTTCATCATATTTTTCAAAGCGAATTCCTCCGCACCGTCAGAAATCTCAGTCGCATCTCGCACAGTAGCCCCAGCCCCATATCAATATTCAAATTGTGGCTCAATTGAAATTTGTTAACTCGCAGGCGCAAAAGCGGCAGTGAACTTGGCCTAAAGGTGGGGATGTGGTTGGGATTTGGGATGGGGATGGGGATCTGGGCTTCCAGAAATCGTGATAAACGTCAAAATATCACGTTGTGCCGGCTGGAAGGAAGAACAATGGGACCTCGATCCTCTGTCCTCGGTCCTCCAAAGAGGCGTCGTTGGCGGCTTTTAGGAGCGCTAAAGTGTTCGGCTTGGCGTCCAGGGCAAAAGAAAGCCAACTGGGCTCAGCTTGGCCTGGCCAATTGTTTTGGCCTTATCAGCGATTCTGGGACATGGCAAAAAGCACACAGCGCCGACAGCGGCACGAACCAGAAGCCTTTTGTGCTTTCCGTTCGCTGGCCCATGTCTGGAAATTTGTTTATTGTTTTGTAATGAGCGTGTGCAACATGTGAGTGGCCACCATGCGGCATCTTTGCTCGCGGCATTCGCGGAATTCATAATCAACAATTTGAGGCACAACGTCATCTAATTGGCAGGGCCTCCAGGGAGGAATGAGGTCCTCCTCTCACTGGGTGACTCTACATAAATGTACTTTTATAGCCCTTAATATTCATGAAACTTGTAAATAGTTTAATAAATTATATGTGGTACAGGTACACAGGTATTACCTTTAACTAATTTATTTTCCCAATAACAATATTGATTTGTTTTTTATATACATTGAATTAATTTACTTATTTTATTAGCCCCTAGAGTCTATTAAAAAACATACTCATTCACTTTTATTTATTTTCTTAATAGCCAACATGATTTGCTTAATTGAGAAACTTTAATGTCTCCAAGAGCCTATTGACTTAGTAATAAATAATTAATAATTTTTTTAATGGTAAAGTTAATGGCTTAGATAAACAAAGTGCCGATAAAGTTTTATTACTTACATAATTACTAAACTAAAATAAAACGTGGCTTGGATAACTTTTGGTGGTATAACTTTTAATGCTGTTACGTTGCATAGTAACCCTATAATCATTTGCTTTCCGATGTTTATTTTTAAAGTAGTAGAGTTAGTTGAAACCTTTATTTGTTAAAAAAATGAAATAGCAGTATCTCTAGCTATTAAAATTCGTTTGTAAATATTTTTATTACGTCACAATTTTAAACTTAAAGAGCTATTAAATAGAAAGTTTTGTCTTGAAAAAAATATTTTGAAAATAAACATTTCTTAAAATTACGTAAAGTATATATTTAGAATGGTATACTATAAGTTTATCTTAGAAAATCTATATTTACTTTAGAATCTTATAATATTAAAGGCGTTAGTCAACGAGTTATAAGGTTACCCCCCAGCAGATTAAACAATATAGCAGAGTCTCAAAGTAATACAATTCGTCTGTAATTATTACTATTATTACCCCAAAATATTTAAGATAAAGAGCATATAATAGAAAGTTCTGTCTTGATAAAAACTATTTTCGAATAAACATTTTTTTTAATTTCTTAAAATATATATTTTGAACGGTAGATACATTTTCTAAGATAAACTACCATAGGATAATCTTAGAAAATGTATATACCATATCTAATATCATTTATCTAAGATAAACTGCCATAGGTTAATCTTAGAAAATATATCTATACTTAAAAAGATTATAATAATGTGTTAGTCAACGAGTTATAAGTTTGCCCTCCAGCACCACCCATTATAGCTCCCATCTAACCCAGCTTTTCCCCTCCCGATCTCTTGCAGATTTCCTGTTCCAGCCATTCCGCAAGCCGAAGCGCGTTCGCACCGCCTTCTCGCCGACGCAGCTGCTCAAACTGGAGCACGCCTTCGAGGGGAACCACTACGTGGTGGGGGCGGAGCGCAAGCAGTTGGCCCAGGGACTCAGCCTGACCGAAACCCAGGTGAGATGGGCCCGCCACCCGGCAGCCCTTAATGCGCATCAAATTCAATAAGCAGCCCCAGTTCAACCCCTTCGGTTAGGGGCTAAGTGATTGCATGTCGTCTGGTCGTTAGCCCAAGAAGTGCCGGGACTTACTGAGTTATTAGCGCTTCGAGGGGGCGGTCAGGGGTGCAGGTTCAAGTTCTCGAAAGGGGGTCGTCTAGCACTTGACTCTGCACCCTCGGGGGCATAGCTGGGAGGCAGGCCGTAAATAGAATTAAAAGACTCGTTAAATTTATTTACGACTTGCCAAAAAAAGAGAAAACAAAAGCAAACTAGAAGGGTTATGGACCCACCCCCGAAAAGGCTACCTCAGGCTCAATTGCTTCCTGTAAGTGCACTAAAGAAAATATTTGTACTAAACTGAGGTTGGAATCAAAGGGTGGTTCAATGAACCATTGTTATGGCAGTCATTTAAAAGGTGGTTCTTTAAAATGTTAAGATATTATATGAAGTTACTCGATTAATTTTTAAATTAATTATTAATATTTTACCTAAATAATAAAAATGATATTTATATTTACATGGTTATTCGGTGGGTAATGTAATTTAGAAATGTTTTTTTTTAGGATCAATACATAAAAGATCGACGTTTTTATTGATGTTAAAAATGATAGCAAATTTACTATAAAATATTTTTTTAAATTAAACATTAATATTTTAACTAAACAATCAAAATTATATTTAATTTACAGGGATATTTGACGGATAATGTAGATAATTCAGAAATTTTTTTTTCGCATCAAGATATTGATGTTATGATTAACGATGATAACGATCACACTTTGAATTTATATACAATTTTATAAACTCACCAACAAATTTACTATTTAGTTAGAGGTGTTTTAAATAATTTCAATACAGGCGGTAATCGGCCATAGTTGCTTAGTTCAAGTATTTTAGTTTAAGTAACTGTAGTAAGATCTTAAGGTCCTGATAAAAGGAATATCAGTTGTAAATGGTTGATATTGCACATATTTACTTATTCGGAATGAAAAAAAATTAATTTTTTTAAAATAACTTCTTATAATAGGTGAAAGTGTGGTTCCAGAACCGCCGCACCAAGCACAAGCGGATGCAGCAGGAGGGCGGCGACGGGAGCGACACCAAGAGCAACAAGGGCAGCTCCTCCGGGGGCGGAGGAGGTGGCGATGGCGAGGACGATGGCAAGCACGACGGATCGCAGCACAGCTACGAGGATGCAGAGGATCCCGAGGAGGACGAGGAGATCGAGGAGGACGACGAGGACGAGGTGATCGATATGGATGACTATGGCAGCGAAATGGATGCAGAGGAGCACCAACGACTGAGGGAGCAGTTCCAGCAGCAATTGGCTCAGCACCAGCAGCAGTTCCTCCAGCAGAATCCTTCGGATGCGGCGGCCACCTTGAGTCCCCAGCAGCAGCATCAGTTGCTGCAGCAGCACCAGCAACATCTGCAGCAGCAACACCAGCAGCAGCAGCAACACTTCCTCCAGCAGCAGCAACTCTATCTGCGGGAAAGGGAGCGGGAGCGGGAAAAGTCCCGGGAAAGGGAAAGGGAGCGGGAAAAGTAGTGACCCATAGTTGCTAAACTCGGCTTACTCGGCTATTTTGTGTTCCTTTAATTTCCTGTAAATTATTTGTCAACTGTATAGCTTAATTTAAATTGTTTACTACTTAAAATACAAATAACAAAGCCAATAAATAAAAGAAGGAAATCATATATCCAGCCAAAACATTTATCAAATGCCTGCAAATCCACATGTGATGGCCATTTATTGGCAAACATTTTGCCATTGCATGATAAACTCATTACAAATGCACAATAGGTATCGATCAGCTGCCAAAATATAACCAATCAAAGGGCCCCAAAAAAATACTGCTAACAAGGCCTTTCATTTATTGAGTTGTTGATGGAAACCCCCATTCTCCCCCCGAAAATTGACAGTAAAAAGTGCAGAGTTACGGTCTCATAAGGCGGCCAAGAAATAAATGTCAGTAACTAACGGCCGAAATTGATGGCCAAAATTGATATTCAAAATGCAAATGATTGCCTATAAAAAATATTTACTATACCGAAATTGCTCCGAGGTTGCAGATATGCATATGGAGCAGCCCGAAGCTAATGGGCCAGCAATTTGGGTTCATTTAAAGCGAAAACGCGAGCTAAACCAAAAATTAAACTGACAAAACGGGAGGAGATCGCAAAGTGGCCCAAAATATATGAGCCCGTTGGCAATGGCGAAAAAAAAAATACGTATATATATAAATATATTCCCTGCGTTATTTTTCGATAGGGCAGGCGAAAAGTTCAAGGTAATTGCCGTTGTCAAAGCAGCGCAACGAAAAGTGGGCGGGCACCGTGAAAACTTGGCCAGCAATTTATGGGCCACTTGACTACAAGCAAAGGGTGTTGAGGTTGCACGCGAGCAATCACCAGAACTCCAGAGCTACAGAACTACGGAACCCCAGAACTTCAGAACTCCAGAGGTTCCTCCACCAGAATGCCCAGGAAAATTCTCGTATTTTGCATAAACGATGTGAGAATTACTTAATTGCACTCGGAATGGGCCCCTGCCCACATATGCAATTATATATATCGGTTTGGTCTGCGTTTCCTCTGTGGGCCGCGAATTTATGAGTCTTTCGGCTAGACCTACAAAATGAAGTTGTCTACTGCGAAATGCAGGTGTCTCAGCTGCTCGGGATTCGGGTGGTTAACTCAGAGCAATGGAGGGTGGCCGCTGGAGATGGGGTCGGGGTCACCACCTCACTTTGTTTGTCCCTTTGATAGGTAAGCATATTCTCAAATATGTGCCTTTATTAGATAGAAAGCTTAGCAGGATTTAAGTCCACATGTTCCTGGTAATGTTAGCCAACAGTTCTCAAGGTAAGATAAGACTAATTAAATCTATTTCAAAAATTAAAGAGGTTCTAGTGAACTTTATCATGACCACAAAATAATACTTCAATTTGATAAGGTGTATATAACAATTAGTTAGGAATTTGGGATCTATAATCACCTTTTTAGAGGAAGTGCTAATAGGCATTTCTAACTAATTTATGGTTACAACAATGGCCGTTTAACTGCTTATTTAGTTCCCATATTTAAGTATTTATAAGGAATAAATAGCCTATAACCTTAACTTATTCAGTTGTAACTTTGAAATTAATATTTTTTATATATATAATATATATAATATTTATAAGTTAAAGCTTTATTATTTCACCTTTTTGGTCGCAAGTGCATTGGTAAATCGACTTTTCAGCAGTATTTCCTGGGTTTTCCGTTGGCAAACCCTTTCGTTTGATTTTGGCATGTCTGCCAGCCGCGATGACGAAGACAAAGACGATGGCGATGACTTTGAAAACAAAGCGAAAGGGAAATGGCTTTCAGCCAAGGCACTTGGAGCATATTAAGGGCGTCATTAGTTCCCCAGGCGCTGCAAATTTGACAGGTGCAAGGGGTGGGGAGTGGGGGCGTCAGCGATTGAAGGGCCTGACACTTGCTGCAGTGCAGCAACAGCAAGGCAGCAGTTGCAACACCAACAGCACAGCAGCAACATTAACCCTCTGCGGCCACAAGTCTCACAGAAATTTATTTAAGTTTATTTTAAAAATATGAGTTCATGAAAAATTGCTTAGAACCTATTTTGGAGTTCTCAAAAAAAACCTGCATAGGATTATTTTATGTCTAAAACATGTATAGACTTTTAATAATGATTTGAAATGGGATGGAAAACTTGGCTAAACATTTGAGATGAGAACAAGAGATATTGAGAACCAATTCAACTTGATTCAAGCACTTTGAGAACCTTTTGAACTCAAAAAATGTTGCTATGTTTTTAAGAACACTTTCAACTTAGGTGAGAACGTAAGAATTATCTTTGTGTATATTTTGGACATTCTGCCTAACTCGTCTAAAAAAATCTCCATTTCTTCCCTATTCCCTTGTGATTTTTATTGAATATTACTGGGGTCACCTATCGCCCATCGATTGACAAAGGGTTAAGCGAAATCGAACGTGCTGGTAACGGCGTAGGAGTCCGGGTTGTTATTGTTGTGTCAGGTCTCAGCTATTTAGCGGCAATTTGTATGGGAAAAGTTTGCCAAATGTAAACGGAATTGCAGTTTAAACCTCATTTGGCGCACATCGTGGGCGGTCGATAGAAAAGCAAAAAACAAATTAAATGCTTAAAATAACAAATGCAATACCTGGAACAGCCATAAAAATAGTACGTTTAATAATTGCAAAGTGTTTTCTATTCGCCTTCGTTTCCAGGTCGTAAATCAGCGATTGCTCAGTCAGTCTCGGCTGGCGCCTCCTGCTCGAACATAAATTTAATTGAAAGACTGGGCCAGAAAGCCAAAGTCTGGGCCAAAAAAACGAAGCCACAGATGCCCGCCAGAGGTTGAGGCGTCAATTGGCAAATTGGTTTCCATGTCAGCCAGCAGGAAAAGTTAATTTTCTCGCCGCCATAAATAACACCCTGATCGACTGGAACCAAGGCCTGCTCCTCCATGGATCTCCATCTTTTGGATGCGAATGGGAATCTCCTTCGGCAGGTGGGCATGGGTGCTGTCCATTTCGATTCCAATTGCAATTCCCTCGCAGGCCGTAAGCAACGTGTTTTAATGCTTTTTTAATTGGAAATGCACACCAGCACACTGATGATGCGCCGACCTGTCGGTTCTGGCATTACGTAATGGCAATTTAATGATCGACTCGACGAAAAAGTCAACAAATAATTTTGAGCAAACATTAGTATATAATGGATGGCCCGAGGCACCCAGTTTAATTATTGTTTGTAATAAACTAAATGCATATTTACACTAATTTCTTTTTAAATATTAAGTAAAATAAAAACAGGTTTCATTTCGTTTACTCATTATTTATTTTGCGATTTTTGTAAGTAAATATATTTTAAAATACAAATTCTTGGGCATTATAAGTACTAGTAGGTCTTTAGTTTGAAGGGCTAAATTCTGGAATTTTATCAAAACTTGAAATGTTTCTAAAAACTAGTACAATAGAGCATCACACATTCCCTACCACATTTTAACGAATCGCTTTTAATTGACTCTGTTAATTAAACACTTTAATAAATTGCCAATTAAGCTAAAGTGGAAATTGCACGGCACCTTAAAAACGTATACTATAATACCATACAACATTGTAAGAGTTTTCCTGCAAATAAAGGAAATATAAATTACGGTCGTGGAAAATCTTTGACAGATTGCCGCGCAAATGATTTGTTAATTCCGTATAATTGTGGATTTCTCGAAGTGGAAAATTTATGTGGCTGCGCTGATGAAAATTAACAATAATTAGGCACGAAAAAGCGGCAGCAAATTCAATTTGATGCATTCCGGTTTTATTCGAAAATTCTCTCATTTTGTGGAAATTAATGGGCGCCCATTTGGCGCACTCCTCGGCCACGCCCACAAGGTGCACGCAAGCTTTATTCGTTCGGTTTTCCGTTTCTTTCCGTGCTTTTTTATAGAATCTGCCTTAGTTATATTTATAAATTAATGGGCCAAGATAAATGGCAAGTGATTTGTATTAAGAAGCACTTTTTGGGAACCGAATTGGGCGCCGGTCCACGAAAAATGTCTTCGGTCTTCTTTCTGGGAGGCCCCTAATTTTTGGAAGCGAGTTCAGAGGGTGTGTTAGCCATGAATCTCGGGTATTTCCATTCCGATTACCCTTTTTTTTCGAGGGTGTGGCATTTGGAGCAAGCTTAAGTTTATGAATCTGAGGCAAATTAGGGGAGAGATCTCAAATCGGTTGAGCCATAATGATGATGAGTTCTGATGAGTTGCTGGGGTATGACTCAGAAGTTTGATCACCTGGAGAAATACTTTCAGTAAAGTAATATATTACCAAAAAAATGTTACATTTTGTATCCACATTACCCCTTTGAAAATTATTTAAGAAGGGCATAGGCGTAGTCTGGAATATATATCCGAAATTTTTCATTATCTTTCAGTTGTTTAAGAATACAAGTTTAAGTAATATTAAATGTTAATTAACTCATATATTCTTTATCCTTTGGTTAAATGTAATATATAGAAAAATCGTAGAGATCCATGGCTGTAAGAAATGACAAAACGTAAATAAAATTGCACACTGTAAGCCTAAAGATTTATATTGATAAATCACATTAATTCCCTTTAAAAAATAAGCCTCTAAATAACTTACGGTTTTAATTTTATACTCATACTTCTCAGTTATCAATTTTGAAAGCATTTTTCAACCTTTTCCTCCCACCGAATCCAGTCACTACTCCGCCCACCGACTTCCCCGCCCTCCCCCTGCCAAGTACCCTCTCAAGCTCACCTGACCAGCCAATTAACTAATTAACCTTTGACCCAATCTAAGCCAGCCCCTTGTAACAAAATCAATAAGTGCATGTGGGCGCATGACACGCCCCCAAACATGAGTGAAGCTCAATTTAAAAGCCATTTCGCTTTGTCGCCGCCGACAAATTGCCGACATTTGCTATTAAAACCTTTTTGAAACCCCCTTTTCAGAAGTCGGGGGGTACGATCCGCTGTTTGTTGTGGGTATGCTAAAAGTTTTTGTGGCACAGCCGATAAATCTGCTGCCTGAAAAGGCAACATCGCGTCGACCAACTACTTTAAAATAATTAATGGGTGCGGCCCAGCAACCGAAGTTAGCCAAGTTTCGACGCTGACAATTGGCTAAATTATGGGGTCGC